CATGGACTATCAAGTGATTTCAATGTCAATCCAAGGATGATGACATGTCATATGCCCATGAAAATGTGGAAGATCCTTAAAATATGAAAACACAATGAAGCATTGGAAGTATGTTATGGTGGCCTTTTCAACCAACATAAGACAGCCATACCAAATTTAAGGCATTTACTTTAGACTAAAAGATTAAAAACTGATATTGAAAAAGAAAAAAAAATAGCAAAAAGAGATTAAAGCATTGGATAAAACATCAAACCTAAACGGAGACTTGCAAAAGATGTATTCATTTCTTAATCATATCAGATGTTGATTGATAGCTTCAATTCAATAGCAAATAAACAGGCAGTGTTTACTATTGAACATAGAAGGAATCACAGAATAAAAAGTAGAAAAGTATAAGACAAGAAAATGAAATTTAGCAATTTAAAAACTACCAGTTTTAATAGATCTATAGAAGCACACTTATCTTAAATATTTATACTCCCGTATATCCCTAACATGTCTGTACTTTACAACAATTGACAAATGCCACTAAATTAAACTATACCATATTCTTTTCTAGTTATCATGTGTCCCTAAAGAAGCTATTGTTCAAAAAGTACAAGATTGAGAACACCTTGAGTTTGAGCAAGCTTTTAGTGGAATCACATACAGAGAAATTTTCTTCAAGGATATTTGGTTGAAGCAAGAATGTCAATATTTAAGTCATTATCATTATAAGATCAATCAGCCACATGAACTACAAATCTTCGCTATGGTACATGGTTATCACATATAAGTTGTACGGTAAAGATATAAATGATGAAATAACACTTACTCTCCGTCTTGAAGAACCGGCATCAGATTTGGCTGCTACACTAATGGTCACTGTAGATGATGTCATTTTATCAGATAAGTCAGTCGAGGACTTTACTTCCTTATTAATATTTCCATTTGTTGCACAACCAGAAGACTGACATAAATTTTCTTTGTCCTCATCCAAAAGAACAGGTTCCTTCTGCTGGTTGTCCGAAGAAGTAAAACCTCCCTCAGCATAACCTGATGAAATTTCATTCAACACAACTGCACCATTCAAGTTAACCATAGAAGAATTCTCAGTGTTACTTAAAGGTGATGAGTGTAATGACCCACAGGGCATCTCTATACCAGGTTTCTTGTCTATTCTCTGTTCCACCATAGGTGATGACAATTCACGTTGTCGTTTCTTCATAATGGATGGTGTACACATGAAACTTTTGGCAGCACTTTTTAACAGAGCATCAGGCGACTCATCATGAGAAGGTGAATCCCAGAGACTGTATGGTTTAGAACAACTCACAGAGGACATCATCAATTGACGAATCCCTAGGGGACTATATGCCTGCTGAAGATCTACAGAAGGTATGAGATCACAGCTAACAAATGGAATCTCTAAGCTTGGGAAACGTGGAGGTTCATAGAATAGAGCTCCAGAATCCTGCAATTCTGCTGGCTGCGTTGGATTTCCATCTGATAATGTAATGTTGTGATTGGCATCAGGAGTACCCGAAACCATCATTTCTGTATGTGTATGCTTTGGAGTCCCAATTTCCTGCCCCTTATCCTCAAGAAGACAGACATTAGGTATACTGCTATCATTGGGACATAAAGACGAGCAACTGGAATAAGCAAAGCCATCATAAGAACATGTAATGACCTCCGAATCATGAGCTCCAACAAAAATTTCTCTGGTTTCATGAGTAGAATTTCTCTGTAGCTTCTCATCACTTGGACAGAGATAAGATGGAGGTACCACAGCCATCAAATTGTTACAATAGGAAATTCCAGGAACAGCTGATGAACTGACAGGATATATTGGGTTTGAACATGAACCAAGACTTCCACCAGCTTCAGAACCAAAAGAGTTTTGGCAGTTTATACCAGAGAAATAATCCAAACTTACAATGTTTGAAGTATCAAATTCAATAGGATAATCTTGGATAGTTCCCTGATGAACATCTAACCCATAAAGGTTGTTGTTGCAGCAATCAGTTTCACATGCCAAAAGATTGTTCTGCTTCTCATATCTTGAATCATTGTTTAATATAAAAGTTGGGACTTTCAGGTCTAAAAATTTTGACCACAAAACAGATGCATTTTCATTATTTCTAGTACATAAGCTATAATGCTCCGACGCTTCTGTTAGCTCAAATGACTTCTGGGAAACTTCTAATGAAGAATCATTAGGCAACTCATCCAAAATCATCCGATCAGATACTTTTTCAGACATTTCCTCAGGTAGCAAGTTTGCAGATGTAGAAGCTTCACATTGTACTTCAGGAACAGCACGTGCAAATTCCTCCATAGAAGCATAATATTCATTAGTGCACATTGACAACTGAGAATCCTGAATCTCTTTTCTATTACTATCACCATCCAGCTTAATGTCATCATCCACTGAAACTGTATTTGGTAGTTCTCCATCAGATTGATACCAACCAACATTGGCTGTTGAAGCTTGGCTGCATTCTGATGAATCCTCAACTTCTAGCCTGTCCTTTAGACCATGATCATTGTTTTTTTGCATATTACCTACTTGGGTAGGACTTTCCACATTAGGCAGGCCTTTAAACTGTGAAAGTAGTCCTGATGCCAAATATGAATTTAATTTCTTCTTCACAGAGCTGTTCCAGTGGTTCTTTATTGCATTGTCCGTCCTGATGTTGCAAAGCACACAAATCTAGATCGTCATGTTGGCAAATGAAATTATAATAATTGTCACTTATCCTGAAACTGAACTAATTTTCAATTTAATGATGTAGAGATTAAAATGAGCTTAAGTGAGAATATAATAAAGGCAGAATCTCAGCATAATATACAGGTGAACATGATAATATTCATATAAGTATATGAAATCACAAATTCTCAAGAAAAATTTATTTTCAAAAAAGTACATAAACATTTGTACAAGAAAGCAGGCATTGAACCATGAATCTCCCAACACAGAAATAAACACTGTGGAATAATACCAAGACAATCAATCGATATGTAACACCCTGATTAATCCCACATCAGAAGTGGTCACTACTAAGATTGACTTATAAGGGTCCGATTGGTATATTACTATCAACTTCAGCTTAAGCATTTTGGCTATTAGTTTGAGCTCAATAAAGTCAACAGGCTAGTCATCACATCAGGTCGAGTCATGACAATTGGAATCATAGTTGACCTAGTATTGGAGCATGGTGAGAGCACTTTGATAGGAAAGGGCTACTCGTGGATGGAGTCAAAAGACTCATCACGGTGTGGAGACGGTGTAGAGCCACCACTTGGCTACACCTCACATGCACCATGCTAAGATTTAGTCTGGGCTATGACGGGCCTTGACAAGGACATCAAGCCCTTTAGTGGGGGAGTTTATAATTCAACCCGATTAGTCCCACATCAGAAGGGGATAAGACTAAGATTAACTTATAAGGGTCTCATAGGTGCACTACTATCAACTTTATCCTAAGCATTTTGGCTTGGCTAATGGATTGGGCTCAACGAAGTTAGCAAGCCAATCATCCCATCAAGTTGGCTTGTAACACGACATGCATCATCAGATAGAGAATAGTAACCATTCAAGTATCAAAAAGGTATGAAAGGCATGCGTAGCATCATCATGGAAGTAGAATCACTCAAAGACATTATGTTTATAAATCAAACAGTTAAGAGCATTCTAATCTCACCGGCCTGGTAAAAATTTTGTCAATTCTGCCCACTTATTTCCATAAATTTGATGAGCATGAATAAGCGCTATTTCCTCTTCTTGAGTCCAGGGCTCCTTGTTTATGGAAGGATTAAGATGATTATGCCACCTACAATACATTCTCTAAGAAGTCAGTAAGTTGTTAATCATGAATCATGAATTACCAAATCAAAGAAACATGATATCAAAAGAGAAAAAATAATTGTAAAGAAACAAAAACAATAAAAAAATTATGCTACCTTCAATGAACACAGCAATATTACAATGCCATTATGGCATGAATAGTCACACTTAGGAACAATATATTCTTTAGAAAGTGTATATCTATGGTTTCAATATATCATTTATATCCATATCAAAAAAATGAATGGCCCCAAGCTAAAGATAAATGTGTTTGGTACTCCAAACCAGAAACTAGTCACAAGAATAATGCTAAAGAATCTCTCATGGGTATGAAATGTAGTATTCCATATTAATCAGAATGCAAATGAAAAGATCATGTTTTGTCGAGATCTTCTGAAGTTATGGCAGATAAATTACCAATAGAAGAACTTAGCATGTAAAAATTCTTAAACGGAAGAGGATTAACAAATCACTTCAAGCAACAAGCACAAGATTTTACACCTTTCACATGATGATATTATCTCTGAACTGGCATAGCAATTATATGTACTTACTAAGCCACATGATTACCCAAATGCCAACAATTCATTGTTAGATTGTATGACATCAGTAAGCTAATTGAACCATTGAAGATCAATAATGGGTTCAAATGTGCTTATTCAAGACCAGCATAATAAAGAGCTTTTGCGAGCTATTCAGTAGTCTTGGAACAATTCATGAGGGGATACATTTCTAGCAGAATGTGTCAGAGTATCCAACCATACATCCTACAATGATCCTTGAGGTCCAGGACCTTGAACATCAAAACCTTTAAAATTGAACTCAATCTGTTCCATTGCTCTCTGATTTAGACAAGTATGCTGCAGAAATGGATTAGATTATCATAAAACTAAGAATAACTCCTCCAATGAAAATTAACATATCCTCTGAAACCTAATAATATGTTATTGCAACCTAATACTGACAATCCCTTTTTTACTGTGATTTTGTTTATTAAAAAATATGGCTTGGTATGCAAAAGAACCCAAATTCTGAAGTATTGTTGCATCCAGCTATTCAGATAGTATGGTGATCTTACAAATGTTAAAAAAATTCACCCTTCATTTGCTTCAAAGGATCTGGGAGTCATCAACTAAATTGTAATTTCATAAGCAAAACATAGATATCATGTTGTGATCTAAGTTGAGATAAATCTAAAATGGCATGCAAGTTGTAGTGGCTCTTACTGTTTACCTTTCCCTGCATTGCTTTCCTATGCGCCCAGGTAATGCTTGTGCAATAGTTGACCATTTTTTTGGTCCAAACTTCTTTACCATTTCAATTATGATTTCATCTTCCTATTGAAGAGAAAAACAGAAAATTATATTAATCAAATGCTGACACAGAACAAATTTTCAGGAAGAAGGCAAAAGATGTATTATTTTCAGTTTATCACAATATTTAACATAACCTCACCTCTTTTGACCATGGCCCTTTCACAAGCTCTGGATTTAAAACCTTTTGCCATCTATGTAGGCATTGAACATCAGTCCGATCTGGGAAACATTCAGCTGAAAATAAAGACAACATAAGAATTATGTACTTCACATAACATAATAAAAACAACAACAAAGCCATAAGTCCTAACTATTTTGGGTCGGCTATATAACATAATAACATATATTAATATTATAAAAAAGACAACGATGGCACTAGAACAAAAACAAGATTTAAATATGTCATTATTATTGCTATGATTTTTTTTCCTATTCCTAATTTACTATCGATATTGTCCTACATAAAGCTCAATAGCTGAAAATAATCCAGGCAGATGATTTGGAATAATTGGGACCAAGAATCTAAATCTTGGTTTGATATTGATTTTGGCAACTAATCGGCTGGTATGGCACCAGCCTTATATATATTATATGTAACAATATTAACCTACATAGACCATTGGTCATACCAACTAATATCGATCGTTACATAAAGTTCAACCATTATATGAGGCCTCTACTGGGACATTATAGTTTCTTGTAATTATACTAAACTATTCATTAAAGAACTTGTATAATTGATGATGTGGATTGTGTTATGCTTTTCTTCACATATGACACTTATGATACTATTGTTTATCGATAACACGTGCATATTGGTTAATTATTTATTGACATATTAATTTTTCAGTTTCCTTGTTCTCTTTTGATATATCAAGATAAAATCAAAAGAAGTGCAATGTCCATATACAGTGTTGATTGAGAATGATAAGAAGAGGAAACACGATATGGGAATTATTGGAAATCAAAAGTTTCATACTTTGATCACTAACAAACCCATGACAACATAAGATTTTATATGCATAAGGGAATATGAAACATTAAAAAAAAACTCCAAAATCAACTCAGTTTATGTGAGACTAAAATAAATACCTATCTTCTTCCAATTTTTTCCTTTAAAACGTTCAACAGCTTTGTACAATATGGCATCCTGCATGCATAGACAATGTGATGCATGAATTGGCAAATCCAATAAAAAACATTTGTTATTAAGATACGTAAAGCAAAGTACCATGCCAAAATTTGCAAAAGAAAATGGCAACCAAAAGAGTTCTTGTCATATTCAGAGCATAAACTAAAATAAACAACCACATAATTAAATTCAAGACCGTTAATATGGAATATCAAACGATAAATTAGCAACACAAGGATAAAGTAGGGATAATCAAGGTTTAAAGCAAGGTTTTGAATACCGATCGAAACTAGCGTACCGAGCTATGCACGGTACAGTACGTTCCGGTATATACCGTCGGTATGCCCTAAAACCTTAAAAATACCTCCACCTATCACACCAAGGTGTACCGATCGATACACCTCGATAATGGTTGAAATCCAGGGCGGTACCGATGGGTATGCCTCGGTATCGATCGGTACCAATCAAAACACTAGTACCGTCCGATAGAGGGCGGTCCGCGTACCGGTATCTTCTCGGACCAGTACGTACCTCCCGTATCGTGCAGTACATATCGAAATTAAGAACCCTGGTTTAAAGTGTCACTTGTATCCATCATTATGAACCGGAATTTACTAGTCCAACAGTCAATCACATAACAGACTAAAAAAAATTGCCTAATTCAAAGGATGTACTGCTCAATAAGCTCATTATGCCAAGCACTGAGTAGATTGATATTGGATGTTAAATTAGCAATAAGCCTACCATCAAGTTGTGTTATTTTTTTAGTTTATGACAACTGGCAACTCAATAGGCTCACTATATCAAGCACTAAGTAGATTGATACTAGATGTTAAATTAGCAACAAGCCTACCATCAAGTTGTGTTAATTTTTTTAATTTATGACAACTGGCATGCGATTGTCATTATTTTCTATATTCCTTCCTCTTTCTCTCATTATGTTTAACTCTCTCTCTCTCTCTCTCTCTCTCTCTCTCTCTCTCTTGTCCTTCACCTCCTCCCCGGTTGCATTGCAGCTACCTCTTCTTGCTGCATCACCACCATCTCCTCCTCCTCTTACCCGTCCCCGCCTCCTCTGCTTCTTGCTTCACCTCTTCCACCTTCTCTCATCTTCACTCTCTTTAACCAATGAGTAAGTGTACATGCTAATTTATGGTATGCCCATCCGTATACTAGTATCACAGTAGTCTGTCCGAGGACTGTTATCAGTACCAAAAAAGAGAATCAAAACCTCGGGTGAAATACTCAATCTATGATTTGGAAATGATTAATATCTTCAACAAAGGAATGTTAGAAATGCAAGAAAGACATACATACAGCATCAAACTAGTGAATGAGTGCATCATTTCTCAAAGCTATTGTCCTAAGAATCATTCTGGTATACTTATCAAGAGCAAGCAAGGGAAACAGAAAAAAATAAATAAATATCAAATATTACAAGTTATCCAGTAGATAGATATACAAGAAGTAAAGGAAACATTAAAAGTCACTATGAACATGCTTCAACTAGTTCCATCCATCAGGTCTTAATTACAGTCAATTAGACAATTACAGTCACTATAGTATTTCAATTAGACATTTACAGTCATCCAAATCTGCTGTTAAAATGATCAGAGGTAATGCACACAGAAAATATGAATTGAACAATCGGGAAGCGACAATTTATGACGAGGACAACCAGGGCATAATAAGACCAATTTTGATAAAAAGGAGCTTAGGCATAAATAACATCCATTATGATTGGAAAGCAACCTATCATAAGCTTCACATACAAGTATATCCATAGCATCTTTCACTTCAACCTAGTTTCATGTCTCAAGGAAAGCAGTCTAGCATTCCCGTTACATCAAAACATTGAGTCATAGTGCAAAATTGCAGAAAAATCCTTCTTGCTTATCACATTTAGAACACTCAGCAGGTTAATAACCTTGTATTACAAAAGCAACATATCTGACTTATTGATTATCTACATCTGAATCTTACCTCCTCAGCTGTCCACTGTCCTTTGGTTGACCGCCGTGTTGGGCCGGTGGTTCTCCTACAATAAATTAAAAAGTTACATGTCAGATACGTTTCACCGAGCTTTAACTGAGAAAAGTCATCTTCCAGCATTGATCAAATCTTAAGAACTTCAAAAAGAACTCTAACTGTAAACCAAACTTGATGCCTAAAATATTTTTATTCGAGCATAATTTGTCAAATGCCATTAGAATAAAGAAAAGAACGAAAATCATAGGAGCAGCAAACTTTTCAGCAGGTACCCATTTAAGGATCTTTGCTTCTGAATCTCTTGGCCAATCCCTTCATGAGCAGCGTTGGAAGAAGAAGCTTCACCTTTGACAGAATTCTTTCCTTTGTCACTTGCCATTCTTTTGACCCACGACTGATATTGTCGTTCCAAGACAAGTCAACAACCAGCATACAAATTCGAAGCCATCATTAAGCAACCAAGATGCCAGAAACAGATTCCACTAGCAAAGAAACACCATAGACTGCAGAATCAAAAGTATGAAAGGGATAAATGAACCACATAAACATTACTATACAGAATAAAGAGTAAGTTACCAATGTTAGAAGAGTAACTCCCAAATCATCATTTGGTAGATGATGTAAAGAACAAGTTCATCAATTTAGGAAAATTCCGAAAATGATTTTTCAAATTGAGAAAGGTCTCAGATTGGCGAGCTGAGCTAACGAAATAAAAGAAAAAGAAACCCAACTTCCCAAGAAAAGGAAGCAAGCGGCCTACAAAAGGCCCAATCATCAAGAACCCGCAACCCTCTCTTTGCTTCTCAACCTCTCCGATTCAAACCACACAAACGGATCGCAAACCCACCAATTCCCACGAAGACGAAAGTTTCCACAACCTCCATCAAGCAAACGATCATAGCCACACCGAGCGCGAGCCCGAGCTGAAACCCTAATCGGGGACGGTCCCCCGTCCCAAACGAAACCAGAATCAAACGGGGGAAAACAGAGCCAATAATTAATTCACCTCTCCGATGGAACAGACACGATCTGAAGCCGGCGCCTCGGCAAATCGAAATGACGCCGGGGGCCGAGATCTCCACCAGCTTCCCCCTCCTTCAGATCGCGAATGAGCGAGTGAGGGGAGAGATTTGTTTTATTCCATCTCCGGGGTCCTTTTCTTGGTTCTTTTTAGGTCCAATCTTTTGAGTGTGGGGGCGGTTTCGAACCCTACGTTTAAACTTCGAGACACCTTCGGGCGATCGTCCGGACGAGGAACCGCGTCGCGGAAGTCGACACGAGATCCGTGCCGTTCGCTTCGAGGGCCCACTCGGTTCCGCTTCCTCATTTTGAATCCCAACGGCTGTCCACCGGGCATAGCCGGTCAAATGGCAGGTGGGCCACGGGTCCCACTTGGGAGCCGCTCGCGCGAGGAAGGTACCACAGCGGGTAAGTGAAAAAGAGGTAAGAAATGTATCACGGGTCACGCATTGACTTCAGACGACTGCCGTCCGATGATTGGTGGGATCGGCAAGTGGACGGCTACGGTTGAGTGTATGCATCACACAGATATTAATGTGCCCAAAAAAGATACCGCTGGAGTGATTGGTATTAAATGATGGTTAACATACTCCGGCAGGAGTTAAGACACATATGTTTTATTTTTGTGAAAAATACAATTATGGAAGCAAATCCAATGGGAATTCATCATAGTTAACGATAAGCATCCAACAAAAATAACATGGAAAATCGCAATCTGATTCAATGCATAAATGTGAAATTGAAGTTGATTAATGGTGCATAATTGGTGTTGGGGGGCAATTATTTGATGGAGACTGTTTGGATTTTAGACATCAATGCAATCACATCCAGTACATGACATTCCGCTAAGTGGAGGTCAGATCAAAGTTCGATGTTTTGAAATAATAAAATATTATTTTTATATATTACATTCTTGACTCTTTTTATTGGTTATGCATAATTTACTAAAATTAGCTTTATATACTATGAACATTATGTTAAAAGCGAGCAGCTTGAACTTTGTGTGTCGATTCTCCCTTATCCCAAAATATTTGATATATTAAATTTCTATTTTTTTATTTAAAAATACCTTAATGATTGGAGATAAATAGAATTTTATTTGGGTTTTGTTTGCTTTATTGAGTTTGATTAGAATTATGAGTCATAATAGAAGTGGAATATTACATATTTTTTATATATGTTGTAACTTATGTTATAGAGATATGGTCGCAAAAATAAACTATGGTTTTAATGGTTTCTCTATATTTATTAAATATAAATTATTTAATGGTTTTAAAAATGAATGTAATATTGTCGATGAGTCCCGTGTCTAAAATGATACGATTAAAATTGACTTATAAAAATATAATAGATATTTTATTATTATCTTTAGCTTAAATATTTTAACTGATAATTTAAGTTTAATAAAAGTTAATACACCAATTAATCTATTAAACTGTAAAATATTAGTGGCATCCACACCACCTGCCAATAAAACATTCATTAAATTATTTGGCAGCAGATCTGAAACCACAACTAATGGTCCAATAAAAAAAAGAGAAAAAGGCAGCTTGATAGTCTCAATCAGTACACTTGGTGCTATTTATAGTGGTATTATCTCAATATAGGGAAATAGATACTTGATTGGTCAACAGTCAACATCCATGAGACAAATATTATTCCATGTTCCAACATTCAAATATAAAGGAGTACCAATGACCAAAAATTTATAAGCCATTAATGTGAATCTATGCCTCCCAACCTATTTTATCAATATTTATTTTTATTAAAATCCATTCTTTTCTTCTTATTGTTCTTATCATTTTAATTTATTGAACCAGTTTTATCCATTAAATTTGTCCCTAACGTTTTGAATCAACCCAAAAGAAAAACAAAAAAAATAGTGAATTCAAATAGAGATAAAAAAAATATAGTATTTTGGGCTAATTACATATATTATATCTTTAGCTTCATGATACTTACACTTTAAAAGGTACATTGGCATTCGAAAATGAGTTATCTAGGTCCATTTACCATAATGTCAATAGTTTTATTAACAGAAATATGAAAGCAATGGTCAAAAGAATAATTTTAATGTTCTAGTTGAGGGTCACTCTATATCTGCATTGGCGTCGATATCGATCAAACGACGTTGCACGACAACTGTATCAGCGTCAACACAATGGTGATGATCGTCGCAACATCTATGGTGAAAATGGTGGCAACCTTGCCACTGATCCATCAGACAGATCCCTCGACCCGAAGCTAGGGTCACTAGGGCTTATATTACTCTACCACCCTCATCTCCTCAATAACTATCACATCAATTATGGCACGGGCATGAAAAAGAGAGATGTGGGATTTGTCGGGGGAATTCTATTCGGTATGGTTGTGAGAATGAAAGCTTCAAAAGGCAAGTAGGCAAGCGATTGTAAGCTCTCAACATATATATTCGATAGCGGTAGAAAATTTTGAGTCTTAGAATTCGATGTTGAGTACGTCGTCGTACCCATCGTCAATATAATTATCGAGCAGCCCTCACCTCTCGTCGTTAATATTCTCATCCACAATAGTTATCAGTGACCCCTAGTAAGATCGTCGTCTGCCACCTCGATATTGTCCGTCACCATCGACGTCGTTCAAAAATTATCTTTTTATCTTTTATTTTTATATTTTAATTAATATTATGAGATAAATGATTCTAGATATTTTATTTTTATAATTATAGAAATATTAAGGTAACTTTCGAATGTGGTGAGAGCTAGTTATCTTTTTAAATCAAAATAACTTTTCAAAGTTAACTACGGGTAAGATGCAATTTTACCCCAGCATTTTTTAAAGCAAATTAAAATATTAAAAATAAGGGACGGCTAAAAGAAGAAATGAGAGAAAATAAAATAAAACGAAGGCTATTTTCTGCTCATTTCATTTCATCCGGGCTTCCGGCCGTTGCTCGCTGACCCCTTGACACGACACTCTTAGCGGCGGCATCGGCCGCGGATGGAGTCGTCGAGCGTCCTCGAGGAGGAGCTCTACCGCCGGTACAAACTCTCCCCCCTCAAGGAGTCATCGCCAGAACGACGACATGATTTCCTCCTTTGTACCGCCTCCGCCACGCGGCGGTCCCCAGGCTCGAGATCTTCGCCTCCTTAATTCAGCGTCGGGCACGACAAGGTCAACCTTGCCAAGTCCCGGAAGCGGCAAATCCGGGTCACCGTCATCACCGGCGTCCTCACCGCGGACCGGGGTAACCTTGCCATCGGTCTCTTCATTGCCGTCCTGCACCTCCACGAGGCCGACCACTACATCCGGATGGGATTTCAAACTCGCCACCAGGGTCAGATGCTGCTGCAGCTGCTCCTATTTCATTCGTTCCATAATAATTAGATTTGGAAGGTGCCTTTTTTCCTCGCGGGTTTCGTGAATTTTCAGAAATGGTTTGCTTTTGTTATACCTTGCCATCGCATAGGATATTAATGCAAAGACTTTGATGCTTCAAAACAATTTTCAAATGTTAATTGATATTTGATAATTTTTTAAAAATCATATTTAATTAGTATTTACAGGATATTAATATATTTTTTAATTTTCGAAATTACCTTATAACTTTATCTAAAATTATAAGATTATCAAAATGATTTATATATTCTATAAGGTGAAATTTTAATTAATTAATTATTTATTTATTTATAAAGATTATTTTATATTTATTTACTTATTTGCATCATACAAATTTTTTTATAAGATTACATACATTCATTCATTTAATTAATTAATTAAAATAAAAATATGTATTTATTTTTGAATAAATATTAGAAATATTAGAAGGGTAAATTTATCAAAAATATTCAATGGATGTTTGAAATACAATCTTACCAAACAAAACTTACATCAATGCACATTTAAAATATAATTTTTATCTATTGTTTACCAAGCACTCAAGGCATTCCATAATTGTAAATTCACTTGAATTCCTTTCTTCAACTACATATTAAAATAACAAATGTGTTCCCAAACGTAATCTAATTTTGTTTTGCTCCTCTTCTTGTTCTTTCGGTTCATGACATGTTTGATTGAATGGAACTACATGCTTGCTTTCTGAGATTTCTTGTAAAACAATAGTTAGAACATGAGATGACATAAGACTAGTTATATATGTCTTCTTGTTCCTAGTTGTAAACGGCTGCTACACAGACCATCAGTGACAATATGCATGACGATGTCTTGATCTCCTACGAGGTCGTATGACACCTAATTATATGTGCACATGATGCGATCATCTTACCTATGCATGTTTTTTATTTTTTACAAAAGATATTCATGAAGACAGAATTAGATTTCAGGACCATGCTATCAACTATCAAAGCTTTTACCAATTAAGCTGCCTAACATCCTCGTATGTCTATCATTTTCTTGAAGGAAAAAAAGTTTTGTTATGTGACACTATCCCTTGTCTTTGATGAGAGTGCATGCATCACTTTCCCCTTGCCGGAGCTCAAGGTTTGATCCCCATCATGCATAAGTCATGGATTGTCCCTATCGTGATGGTGGATAACTAGGATGACCTTGTGGACCTCGTGGTCAATTTTGTAGGATCCTGTGCCGTTGCTGTCTGAATGAAGGTTACCTAAATCTATGGCTGAAACAAAGCTGTTTTATAAGTAAAAAATTTCTTGGAAATTGCAGTTCTTGTGCATATTTTATACTGTGTTTTAGAGATGGAAGAATTTATCAGCATTAAATCAGATTTGATGATGTGTTTACCATCATGCAACCTGTGGATATGTCTGAACCACATCCAAGGGTCATCTAAAACCATAACATATAAGCCAACACTCCATATTCTCATATGATCTTTGGTTCTCTTGCAATTTATTTTTCTTCTTCGTCTGCGCTTCTTCAGGTTGTCTGTGGACTGAGAACATTGGAATCAGGTTCAAATGATCAAGTTGTTAAAGCATTTTAGTTTTGTTTTTTTTTAGGCTAACTAAATTCATTGATAGTTTATTCACACCGCTTAGTGATACTAACATATGGACATTCACATCTGGGCATTTCCTAATTTTAGAGTAAACATGCTGAAAAAAGTGCTATTGATCGCTTTGAATCAAATTGGGTTTCATCCATTCTGGTTATTTTAAGTTTGATTGTGTATTGATATATGAAGTATTTACTTTGAATCTATCAGTTGTAGTTTTAAGTTTCTGATATCTAATGCAGAGTCATAAGACTCATAACTGTGTGTCTCATGTTCTACACAAAGATGATTAAATGTTTTGGTCAGTCTACGGTAGTTTCATGGCATGGACAGTTCTTTTAATATAACATACATATTACCTATATGTCTCTGCAATCTGTGTAAGTATATATGTATACACAACTTTCTGAACCTTCAAGTTCCTGGTTCTGTTTAGACGTTAGTCGATCCTTTTGAGTGGAGCTGCAGCAGCTGAGTCTGTGCTAGGGTTGAGATCATGTTATCCAAACATGAAACAATTATTACAAACCCCCATTTGCTTTTAGGCATTTATGACCATGCATGTTTATGGTGTATATCCACTAAAAGAACACATATCGTAAGAGTTGTGTTTTCTACTTGGGACTTTGCATACATCCTTTTCATTGGTGAATGTTGTTATTTTTTATTGTCAATCTATTTAAATTGGTCAATTTTTATTAAGAAAAGTGTTGCAATAATTAAGGGGTATGAAACATTATATAACATAAGGAGTTATCAATTTGAACATTATTGTTCTAAAAATAAGTATCCTCATCAAATTTCTTTCATTGGATTAAAAATTACAAGCTTATATAACACGCTATTTCATCCAAATTTTAACTTGTACATGAAATTAAAAACTCTATGAGGTCCTTGTTGAAGGATTCATCTCAAAAAGGAGTTTGCTTCTTGGAGGACTCATACCTAAGAACTATCATTATAGCCCTAACTTCAGGAATCCAAATTGTAGAAATATCTTTGACTCATGAGATGGTGATATGGATGAAGTTTTTCAAATATGGTCTTAACTCTTAAGAATCCAAGTAATTCTATCTGATTCCAAGTGGGGATCATCATAACATAAAATGGAAATCAAGGTTGTTAATTTACTTAGAATAATTCAAGTTAAATGAAACTTACTCCATGTGGTTATTGATGACTCCAACTTGTCAATGACACAGTGTATAGTCAAAAAGTTTGTGAAAATTTGATAAATTATAAAACCATTATTTAAACTAAACAAAAAAATCATAAGAAAGTTCAAAAATTAATATAATACTGTTAAGTGTCTGATCTTACTAGCCAGAATAATATATTCATTTGTTAAGTATCTGATCTTTGTTAAAAACCACAAAACTAAGATTCTGTGTTTCTTCCTTCTTAAAATAATTGTGCCTTGTATCACTGACTTGGTTTGGCACTACAGGTTGTCACACTAACAAACAATTTTTCTTTTAAATCTGCATCAGGTGTTGCCAAAAGATTCATCAAATCTATAAATAGATACCCATGTAGACCTTGGCCTTTCTCTTCTCAAATATACACTCCATCCTGTTTGGTCCGTGGATAAGATCTTTGTTTCTTCCAAACAGCACCAAGGATTTCCTCCATTTTTGTGCCTATTTAGATTCTACTCTTTGCTCTCCATAATGTGGTTATTCCTAACATGGTCCTCTCTTTCCCTCCTCATTTTTTCTTATCTGTCATATTCTTTTGTTTACCAGTTTTTCCTTGCGCAGTATTTTGAACATCGTGGGACAAATGATCTATATACCGTTTTCATATAGAAAGCACATATTATTCTCCATCCCCTCTATGCAAATTGTTAATTGCATTGTTTGTCCTCTGCCATTCTATTTTCGCTGATATTGGTTAGTTGAATTAGGATATGTGAAAAGAAAAAGTAAAATATATGTGAAAAGTTGATATGCCTGGGAATGAAGCCTAGTTCAAAGTTTTAAAAATCATAACTTTGAGTTCCTCTTCTCCTTCCAAAGTTTTTAAATTGACCTCATCTTTGATATATGTGACCTGAAATTGGGAAGAAAAAAGGTATTAGAAGTTTCTGCTTGTATAATGAGTCATCATTTTTCTTAAACATTTCAAGAAACTTTTGTCTTTAATGTAAGAAGTTCACATCATACTATGATATCTGTTTGCTGTTGGCAGGGGTAAAATAGTTTACTGTAAGAAGTATTTGGTTGCCTATAAGCTGCTACTCAAGAACAGAGAAACTGATACCAATTTCAAGAACTACTCTTAGAAGCAGTTTCTTCTGTTAAGACTTCCATCCGACTGTACAGAATTCTCTAATGAGTCACCCAACAATGGACTTCCAGTGAATTATTGGATTTCTGTTTTCTCCATTGAACTATCTAGGTATGACCTTCATCTTGCGGAATGATACCTTTCTAAGCTTATGGAGGTCACCTAACCAGCTGATGATCTGTTTTTAAGATCATTGCCGCATGAAACTTCAGTTCTGTAAGCTCATGACTTGTATAGATTCGCAAATGGTTGCTTCCTTTAATGCCAAAGACGGAATTCAGAAACATTCATGAATTACCTAATAAAAATAATAGTTTGTATAATTTCTTTGCAGGAAATTCTGCTGCAAGTCCACAACTTATTGAAATAAAGATCACCAGTGATGCAACTTTTTGCCAATGTCTCTGAAGTTATAAACTAAGACAAGCAGAATTGGAGGGTCATGACATTTGATGTTCAGATCCAGCACTGATATATCTGCACACATAGGCTTTCTCAAAAGGTAAGAAAAAAGTTTCTCATTTCGTTCCCTCACATTATAATGCAGAGAAAGCAAAGTAGAACTTTGATCTGAAACCTAAGTATGAAGTATATCACTATATTGTTCAATATCTGTTCTCATATTCTGCCACATTTCAGTGGGTCACAGAATTACCTCTTTTCATCTTCAGCTCTCGGAAGCTACCATCATAACAAGCCCAACAGCTATTTTGTGCAGGTGGTTTGGGTTGGCTAAGCAGCAGCTCCTTTGAAGATGAGAAAGTTGAGTGTCTCCAGGCAGAAGTAGATGAAGGTGCCCTTTGTGTGGGTGAAGAAGCACCCAAAGTTGGAACCCACCACACATTGCCATCCAGGCCCATACCTCAGATCAAATTCCTGGAACATCAACACGCACAAGAAAAGAAGGGGATGACAGAAGGTCCAACCATGGAGGAATTGGAAAATTGATGTGGAAAGGAGAGAGGGGAAAAATACCTTCTTGATGTGGGTAGCTATGCTCTTGCAGTCAAGGACATCAAAGAGGTCGAGAGCTTCACTAGCACAGGACATGGCTTGCAGCTGCATCTTCACTGGCATGTCTGTGTCCTGGATCATTGCCTTCCCCTCCAGCATTCTGCCTTCTCTCCCCAAATCCAGTGCCGAACCAATTGAGAAATCTGCTCTTATTTCACTGGATTAATACCTGCATGCTGTGGAAGACTGAAGGATTTAGAAGGATAACGCAAAGGTACATGCACACTGTCCCCTACTCTTATCTCTGATCTCTGACATCATAATCTCCAGCCTTTTTTCCCTCTATTTAACTGTGGACTTGTGGGAGAACGCACACACACACACACTCTCTGTCTCTCTCAATCAATCCTTTCCACATGGCAGAATGTTTTTGTTGTTTGGGAGGGGTGGGGAGATAAATATGATGCAAAAATCTTATCACTTCTCTCCATGTCAAAGATAATCTTGTTAATTGCAACCACTGCCATGCAATCACAAAGGCATGGAGAATTCCTGAGAGAAAAAAAAAGATTAATAATATCTTTTTCTTTCTGAGGAAAGTTCACACCAAACTATACAAAATATTTGAACTTATCCTCTCGGTGTTTACAGCTCCTCTTTGGTTGCCAGTGGCGTGCATGGCGATCACCTCCTTCCTGCTGATGGTGACTTGTATTGTCATGGCATATAGATTGATGAGCAAACACTTTGAGGGTACACAATGACATGGTTGGTATTGTCTTATATGCAGATGTGTTAATTCATCTGAAACAGTATACTAATTAATATGATTGGTATATAGATTTGATCAAAGAAAAGAGAGAGAGAGAGAGAGAGAGAGAGAGAGAGAGAGAATTGGTTTTGACCACTAGATTATTAGAAAAAAAAAAGTCATGGAGATTTTACATATTTATATGTCACTCCATCTGCAATTTTACATAAATTTAAGGATAAGAGAGGTATGATTCAATGGTTTGGGCCGTATAAATGCATCTCTATCTGCAATTATGAAGTATGTATCCAGGAATCATTTAATGGTATGATTGGGCGCAATGATTGCACGTTGACAAAGAGGGCTGGTGGCAGATCATTATCTTATTATATTCTCCTCGATAAGCTTTTGTGCAATTAATTGGGTGTCATTTTCCTTAATTTTTACGTGCCAACCATATTATTTGTTTGTGGATGCTTTTGTAGATATTATTATTATCTAACTTTGATGTGTCTACATGAATCCCAATCGGCAGTTCGCGTGATGTGAGTAATTGTAGAACTAATTAGTTGTATTAAATATTCTTATCTTTATAATTTTAAAAATTATATTGAGATTTTTATATTTATGAAAATGAAACATTTAATCTCATTTCTTCTCACGTCGTCGACTTTGTTGACAAAAATATCGTAAGGTTTATCATTGAGCATGTGTTGACTTTGTCTTACTTCGGTTTATCACCGAGTACTTATGGTATTTTCGTTAGCAGAGTCGACGTGAGAAAAATTGATATTAAATAATTTACTTCGTAAGTATATGGACCCCAATATGATTATCGAAAGTATAAAAATTAAGATATTAAAGATAGTTAATTACAAGAGATAATATATAATTAGTTCGTAATTATACTCTCTTGTTTACTTACAGTTTCTCTTAAAATTGGGTGCTTGGCTACTGAATCAATAAGCATTTGAAGGTATAGCTCTACTGCTAAGCCTTCACTGTATTCGAGTAAGTAGATGTAATCGTTGCAGCATCACATGGAAGGCCCTTAAAATGTGGTGAAAGTTCCATGTCGTGGTTGTTCTTTTGCTGTTGGATGTCCTGCTTGCAGCGTAGCTGAAGGCTTCGAGGAGATAAGCCTCTAATCTCATCAGAATCGTTCGTGGGAGTCAGAAATGAAGTCATTGGTAATCGAATGAGACAGGGGAAAGAATATTGGTGTCGTCAACCTTCCTCTTGTGTTCCTTTTCTTCTTCCACCTTTTTGAGTCCTCAGAGCAAGTGGACATTGGCAAGCCGACAGCGTGTGCTATGGGGGGAAAGAGAGCCCAAGAGGACAGGAGAGGTGACGAGGTTCACCACCTCCTTCGTCCCACTGCTGTCTTCCCTCCACATGGATTTCAAAGTTTGCCTTGTTTGTTCTTTGGAAAGTGTAATCCCAAGAGAAAAATGCAGTGGTTGGGCTTTGGGAACTCAAATTGGTCACCAACTACTTTGTTTGTTCATAGCATGTTAATGCCCAAATCTGCTTACATAGATAATGTGTGTGCAATAGTTTGTATCAATGAGTTTGTCCTTTTTGTGTTTTTGAAGAACAACAAGGTTTCTCTTGTGTAAGCATTGGATCTAAAACTTGTATTGATTGTGAGTTTTCCAAGAACAAAGGCTACTACTTCTGTATAGGCATTGGATCTGAAACTTTGTAATTATAGGTTCCATCTGCCATGGTCATACTTGCTGATGTTACTTACATTTAAGTTAGAATTTAAGATAAATTATCATAAAAATAACTTTTTATCTTTTTTTCTTTTCGATCTAAGAAATATTATTACTTCTTCCTGCATGAGACCGAGCCCATGAATGGATCCACGTGCGCCGTCTTCTCCCAACAATAATAATTATTGGACAATAACAGCGTAAGATTCCGTATCTATTCCTATCAAACAATAGATCCGATATCTATGGTGGATTCGCCACCGCATCCGAGTCGCGGTTCATAAATGAACTCCTCCTGCTCTGCTCTGCTCTGCTCTGCCTTGCACCGTCTTCTCTCCGTTTGAATGCACGAGAGCCGACATGGAGATCAACGGGAGTTGTAGTGGTGGTGGTAGTAGTACGGGCAGGAGGCTGAAGCAGCGACTGGCTCGCATGTTCCTCCGCTCCTCCTGCAACACTTCCACCTCCGCCGCCTCGGCCGGAGCAGAGCCGGTCTTCGAGGTGGAACACCGCGACCATGGCCTCGGTCGTCGTTCGCTTTCTTTCGCTGTGCCTGGCGATCACCGCCGGCACACAGCGGTTGCTGTTGCGCTGCCGCGGTCAGTGGATTGCAGCGGGTGTAAACCATCCCACCAATCTGCACCCTTGATGGCAAAGAGTGACAAGTGGAAGGATTCCAAGGGAAGAAAGAAGGAGAAGACTGCTTCTCCCTCCTTGCCACGGAAGAGTTCTTACTACTATCATTGCATCGACAAGGCCATGGGAGAAAGGAAGGAGATCAAGAGGAAGAAAAAGAAGAGACTTTTGTCCAACGGCTACGGATTCAGCAGCTCCTCGTCGACTGAAAGCGATCAAGAAGACGGATTCTTCAGCAGCGAAGAGCGCGAAGGAAAGGAAGAGGAGGCCGAGGCGTTCTTCTCATCGAGGAGCTTCTCCTCTGACTCCTGCGACTTCTACCAGAGGCCGACGTCCAAAAAGAAGAAGAAGAAGAAGAAGAACAACAACAACAACAACAAGAAAGAACCCGAGCGTCCTCCACGACGACGCCGCGGCGGCGGTAGGAAGTACGAACCTTGGGGAGTGTGCAAGGGGCTTCAACCCCTGGTCTCCGTCCGATCTCCCGCAGCCAAGAACGGCGTCGCGGTGGTGAAGCGATCGAGGGATCCTTACACCGACTTCCGGAGCTCGATGGCGGAGATGATCACGGAGAGGCAAATCTTCGAAGCCGAAGACTTAGAGAACTTGCTGCAATCCTATCTCTGTCTCAACTCCCCTCACCTCCATCTTGTCATCCTGCAGGCCTTCTCTGATATCTGGGTTGTTCTTTTTGGCCGCTAAGTGGTTTGTTGCAGTGTTTTCTCTTTAGTGTTAGCTTGTGATGTAATCTTTGATCGTGTTTAACGAGTTCTCTCACGATGGATTCACTCTGTCGGGCTTCCTTTGTCTTCCTGTTCTTCCCCTGTTGCAAGCTTGATCTCCATGGAAAGGTTCAAAGATTACTTGTCATTGGAGGTTCCGAGTGCATCGATATGGTTTGGGATTTGTGCTGGTGTTGATGCTCTTCTGCTTTTTTCTGAGAACAAAGGGAACAGACAGCCGAGGAGTCTGCAAGCTTGAGGAATCAGTTCTGGTCAAATAAAGTAAGATCAAATGGATGTTTGCCTGATAAAAACATGCATACATATGAAGCATTTCTCTTCATATGGATGCAAGAGAGATTCTGGTTTCTATATCTCCTTAGGGGCATGCAGTAGCTGCTAGGCTTACAGCCAACACAAGCTCTGTTCCCACTCCTCATCTTCCTACTCCACCTATGAGCTGCTGCAAAGCCTACATGCAATGGTTAGTCAGTGCTGGCTGTCAACACAAGCTGCTCCGCTTATGAAACAAGATTCAAATGGTGATGCATCAATTTTGTGGCAGACAGACCTCATGCTTGTTCTTGATATGGATATTAGTCAACTCACAGAATGTTGAGAAAGGAAAATACCAAGAGCAAGTGCAGAGCCTTTCTTTAAATGATGACATGGATTAATTACTACTAGTTGATGTAAGATCATAAGAAAAGAAAAATAAAAGAAGAGACTTTTATAGAAATTAAGTAAAGAATTATTTTGCAAGCCAACACCACATCTGAGTTATTTGCACAACTAAATATGATTTATCTTATCCAATCAATCTCTGTTAGGCTTTATTGAGCCTCTACTATCTATCTTATTTCTTTGACTCTACAAGATAAGTATCTTGAGAACTCTCTAAAAGATATATCTTTGATCTGCAATAAAGATCATGATATCAACTAAGCAATCAAACTATGATTTCATATAATTGATCAGCTCAAGGTGTGTTTACACTGGACAAAGAGGTGTGATCAATAGTTGACAAGACACTAGTTTGAATCATACCCAAGAGGAAAGATCAAAACCCATTCAGAATATGAAATTTACATGTAGAAACAAAAGGATCCAAGCAAAAGCTAGAGACAAGTCTTTCTTCGTCTTTAAGATCTTATTGGATCCCTCCCTTATACACTCAAATGGAATAACCAATGCAAACCTTTTCAGGGTGAAAGTGGGGTGACAGACAGCAAGTAAAAAGCTGTTGCACTCTGTGATGCTCAAAGAGAATGCTTCAGAGACACAAGTAGGCAAAGTTGGTGTGGCTTAGCAGTAGTACTTCCAAGCTGTCAGCTATTTCTGCAAAGGATAAGAACCTTTCATCGGATATGTAGATCATTGAAGCTTTAGGGATACAGATAGGAGAGGAAGCAGATTTCTAATGCATGCTTCACCTGTCCACATCGAGCAAGTCTTTAGAAAAGAGAATCTACTTTCTTGAATGTAGTGATATCTGCAACACCAACTGCAGATTTTTGGGTAGATTTAAGAGTGCTGTGGAAGGTAAATTTGGCTGATATGGATGGGATGGTGACACA